ACATATAACTTTTTTTATTTTTGCAATTGCTGTTTTTCTAATTTTGTTTTAAAACAGAAAAACAAAAAATCACGTGCTTGTTTTGTTTTTGCAATTTTATTTTGAAACGAAAAAAACCAAAGAACAAAGATACACGGATTGTTCACTAACAGATTTTCTGTTTCTGTGTAAGAATACTGCCCTAAAAAGTAGCTAAACCCCAAACCAACTTTTTAGTAGATAAACTGACTAAATTGTGCCTTTAGGGTAGGGTTGGGCAATATTGGCAAAAAAATAATCGCAATTAATTGTGGTATTTAGTCGAGAACGATTAATTTGACGATTAATCCCCTGGAGTCCCTGCACACCCTTATGTCCTGGTCACATGACCAATTTAGTGGGAAAGATTTGCTCTTCATAAAAATCTTTTTCAAATTGTGTCAAAATCACAGACTTCAGGCTATACTTCAAATTTAAAATYGTGTCGATAGATAAATTACAGAACTTTTGTTTAAATGTTCGTCACATTTGAAGCGGAGAGGAGCACCGAGCGGACTGACCGGGGAAAACTCCAGTCAGTCTGCCTGGTGGCATTAATCGTATTAAGCGTCAAGTGCCAAAAAATAATCTATTAATGTTTTTCTGATGATTAATTGCACAAGATACGATTATGCCCAACCCTACTTTAGGGTAATATCTTTGTATTTCTGTGCAAATTTTAACATTTTTGTGTAAATTTGTTTAATTCTGCAATTGTTCTTTTTTTTCTAAAAAAAAGTCTTGGTGCTTCCGTCTATTAGACCTGATCCAGATGCAAAACTACAACTCCTAGACTCTCAAACCTGTCCTGGATTATTCTACACTYATAGCAAAATATTTAAAACCAAGTTTGTGATTTGTGAAACTTTATCAAAGGCTGTTTTCAGCACATTTTATGCATTTGCACCAAACTAGACCTGTTTTCAGAGATGCTAGCTTGTCAAATGAAGCTAGCTGTCACGTTTCCTCGTCCTGACCACACCTCCTCACTCATCCTCACACTTGTCCGCACCCCTCAGTGTCTCTTGACACAGCCCACTGTGTTGGAGTTGTTTTAATTTGCCTGGGGGCGGGGTTAGTTACACTTTAACTTCATATTTATTTTGTCTTTTGTATCACAGTAATAAAAATAGATCTCGCTCATAAACTAACTGCAATATACCATCGCATTATGAAACTATAACACACATCTTAAAGCAAAATATGTGATTTTTCAATGTTTTTGATTTGACTTTTTGTGCTTTTAACACAAGTTTTGCATCTTTAAATGATTGTTTAAGCTTAATGTAATTCCATTGTTCTCCAACTCTGTTTACATCTGGTGAATATTTTTATCAACTCAATATCCGTCTCATGTAAATATTTTTTGTAGTCAGTTTTCAGATATAAACAAACAACTCATAATTGTTGGCAACAAAATCTAACTGCACATTTTGCTCATTTATTACAAATGTTTCGGTAGACTTTTGGTAGTGATTGATGCATATTTGTCGGTTATTTTTATCCTAAATAATACAAAAACTTCAAATCAGATAATAAAAAAAGTGTATTTTGACGGTTATCATGGCTTTCTCTAAATCTCTGTTCTGTCAGAGCCTCTCAGGGTAGTTTGGTGTCCTTCTCTTTGCTGCGTCTCCTCCACTGTCTTCTGTCCAAGTCGTCCTCGGTGTCCGTGACTGCGTACACTCAGATCAGAGCGCTGGCTGCCGCCAAAGGGCTGAAACTGCAGACACTTTTCAATCAGTACAAAAACCCCATTTGCCAGGTAAATCTTTACCTTTTCTTTAGTTGTTTGTTTTAATAAGTTAGTTTTACACACAAACAATACTATCTTTAAACCCCAAATAGTACAATATTAGGTTTATTCAGCCTTTTTTGTGTGTTATATTAGGACTGCTACTTCTACTACTACTTATTTTAAATGTTTATTCAAATGTAACTTAAAACCTACCTTTATTGCATCAGTATTTCTTTGATTGTAGGCTCTAAACTGTTGTTTAGAATTGTATATATTATTTAATTTACTACAAAAGCAGAGAAATTTGATACAGATTCACCTGGACCTACCTGTTAGTCCTTTTTAAAATGTATTTTCTGTGTTTTAGTTCTTGGTGGAGTCTCTACACTCTCGTCACGCATCTGTCCTGAGGAGCACACCAGATCAGGCCAGCGAATCGGCCAATCAGAGAGAGCTAGCTTTGGACAGCCTGGCTCAGATCGCACATGCTTTTGACTTCCCGGACCTCCACCGCTTCCTCACTGTAYGCAACACGCTGCACGTTGGTATATTCTAAAGTTTTGTTTGGAGCCTAACGTGGTGGGGCTGTTGTTTATGCAGCGGACGCTCCAGGTGCTGCTGCCCTACCTGGCAGCTAAGGCCAGCCCCACAGGCTCCGCCCTCATCCGGACCCTGGCCATCGAGTTGAAGGCAAATAGGAGAGAGATTCTGATCAACAACTTTAAGTACATCTTCAGCCACCTGGTCTGCTCCTGCACCAAAGAAGAGCTGGAGAGGGCGTTTCACTACTTACAGGTTTGAATAATCAGACTCCTACGAGTTTATCAATTTTAATTATTTAGTTTTTGTAATTTTAGTTAATTTTATTCAACACTTTGATGAGCAGACATGAGTTTAAAAAAATGAGATAAGTTTCTGTAAAATGTCGCCTCAGTGTATGAAAGGTGCACCCAATGTAGATTTGTCCTAAATAATACTTTTCTTGCTGCCTATTTTGACCAGGTTTTCCTTGAAAAAGAGATTATTATTCTCAAAGATCTTCATGGTTAAATAAAATAAATATGTATAATACAGAAGAGCAACTTCWTTGGTTGCTAAAATGTCTAATCCTTAAGGTTTAAAGTTTCTGTTGACTCTAATTCAGATTTAACACTTGCCCAGGCTAAATAAAAAACTACAACAATGAAAATAAAGGTGGCACTAAGAAGGCCACATAACTTAATGGTGTGTCCCATTTCTATATCAATATCTGATATCGGCCTATATTAGCCAAAAATGAAAGGGATCCATGATTAGTTGTAACATTAGACTTTATTTGAATAACATTTATTTTAACTGTAAAATAAAGACTTTAAAAATACTGTAGGATGTTTAGTTTTGTAAAGTTTTTTAAATATATTTTAACATGGACGGAGCCATTTTATTTACACGCAAAGGATTCTGGGTAAATGATGACATCAACTAGGTCATCGGTGCGAGGCTGCTAGCGAGCTATATCCACCCTGAAGGTTAATCTTGGAC